AATAAAGGAATCACCCCCAACCCACCAGGTTATGGATCAATGCATTACACATATTTCTTAATTTGCGGCATTATGAAATGTTCCCAAATCCTTTCACAGTAAAAATCAAAATCAGCTCTATGGAAATGAATAAAGTAATCAGCAAAAAACGCTCACCTGTTCCAGGGCGTTGATGGCAAACTGGGCAATGTACAGCTGTTCGATTCGTAGCTAGGGTTTAATCAGGTTCTTCCAAGTTGGCAATCGCTTGAAATGACCTGGTAAAAAGAGCATTGTCCCAAATCCTTTTTCCCGCCACTTCATGGAAGCAATGCTCTTTCCTCCGTATGCTAGAACGAAGACCCCAACGACAAAGGAAAACTGGTGCGACGTTTCCCAAAAAGGGGGGGAAAAAAGGCTAATGCGAAGGGAGGCTCTTTATGCATACTGACTAATTGGGCTTCCTTTTCTAGCCCCAAATCAAAGATCCAAACGTGCACATGAGTACCTGTCATTTGTGGTCAGCCTAATCAAAGAACCTCACGGGCCTTGCACAGAGAACTGTAAATATATGAATTCCGAGAAGCTTCATGTTCCAGACTAAAACATACAGGATACCGGGCATTCGCGTGGCATCGGCGGTGTTCACAACTGGGGATTGAGCTGCTGCTGGTCATTTTCTTCTTCTTTTTAATCGTCTTGTCTTTGTTTAGAAACTTCTGCGTTCTGCTATGAAATTAAGCTGGGGATTGCTAATAACATGAAACTAAGCATTCGCGGGGGGAAAAAATTCGAAGGAGGCAATAATGTTTATGTGTTATTCTGGTTTTCTGAGTATAATTTACGTAGGAAACAATGTTAGGGCAACAAACATAGTTGAACAATACAATTTTACGAGTCCTGATTGACCCTATGCATAATGCGTTCATATTGATTTCTTGTTGCCTCGTGTAAAATTAACATCTTGTTGGCTTGTCTGGAATTTTCTCTCAAGGGTCATGTATTAGCTAAATAAGCCCTTTGTATGTAACTTGTGCTTTCCAGCGGATCTATTGGTTGATTCCGATAGAAATATATGTGAACCAAGTTCAGTTAGAGTCCTAGGATTCCCATCCCTATTCATCATCTTCTATTCCAATGTAAGATAATTTACCACGAAGAATTCATCTCTTTTGTTTTTTGGGGGGGGGTTGTAAAACTGGTGAGTAACTACCATTAGATTTGTTCAGCTTAGAGCTTGTATGTGTGTAATATGAAGAATGAGAATGCTCATATGTCTTTGTATGTGTTTGGACTTGTAGCTTGTGAGAGAGAAGGGGGTAGAAGATGAGATGACAGGCCTGTTCATGAAAGGCGAAACTACAGTGACAATCTGAATGAACATTCTACCTTGGGGGCATCAGTCTCCCCTGCATGGCACCATGTTTTAGGTGTACTTGATTTCAGGTAACTAGTACTCCCTGTTTCAGTCTGATGGAGAAAGCTTCTGTTTTGGAGAAAAGGGAAAATTCCATCAAAGAAATTGCAAAGGGCATGCGAACCAAAAAACGTGGGCATCATCGGCTAATTACAACAAAAGAAAATATGAGTAAGTTAGAGACATCAGAAGAAGTTCAATATGTCAATAGCCCCTCTAGTGGGATCGGCTGGTTCTCTAACAAAGCATATGATCTCAAATGATGAAGATGTGATGCTACTATAACCACGTTGGTTTCGAGAACCCCACGTTGCTAATTCAACAGATGTAAGAATTCTGGTAGAGAGAGCACGTGTGTGTGTGTGTGTGTGTTTTTTTTTTTTAATTTGCTTTGGTTGCTGAAATGAACATTCATTGTCTCTGCAACTTTCTATATTGTCACGCCTAGTTCACATCTGCTGTCACTTGTGTCTAAAGTGACAATGATTGGCTGATCAATGTGCGTGTGTGCTAATTCTTGTTACTGGCATCATCCTGAATGCTGATTACATCCTTGTTAATTGAAGTAAAGGCATTTTTGCCATGGGCGTAAAATTAAAACATAATGAACTACAGGTTACTCAAGAAGTTTAACTTTCAAGTGCGCAGAACTTCGTATTATTAATGGGTATGGTCTTGTCTTAATAACAAGTAGCATAAACATGTTGATACACTAGAACTTGTCATTATGCATGCTACTCATTTGTTAATTACATTCCTTTCTTATGGTCTCATAGTGAGTTTTTCTATTATTAATGGGCATGAACCAAGAAGGAACCACCATCTTTATATCCTGAGAAATTTTTGTGTGACACTACATGTTAACTTGTTGTGTGTGTTCTTTCACCTCTTATTTCCTTTCAACTTCATTTATTTAACCAAGCCTGGATGAATGGCTATTGGACAATTATATTAGGTTCCATGTCTTCTCATATGCTTTTAAACTTGCAGAATATTAAACATTTACATCATTACATCATTGATCAGTGAATCCAAATGGCTGGAACTGCTAGCTCTGAGTCGAAGACCACATTATAGGCTCACCTTATTTACCGGTGTAAGAAATGCCGAAGAATTGTAGCTTCATATGAGAATATTGTTTCCCGTAAGCGTGGAAAAGGAGAAGCAAGTTTCAAATGGAGGAAGAGAAATGAGAACACAGAAAAGCAACCAGTGGACTGTACCTCAGTACTTGTCCAACCCATGAAGTGGATGCAAACAGGTTTTTGGGTTACTTCAACTGGGCAGGTATGCAGTGTAGCTGCGGAGCGTGGGTGAATCCTGCATTTCAGCTGCATAAATGTCGTTTAGATGAGTGCTATATATGACTCAATCACTTCTCAGCTTCCCCACAATCCACATCTGAGGCTTGGAAAAACTTGATAGTAGTAATACCTGAACATCAGTAAAGAGCTTTTCCTTATGGTTTATGGGAACTTTAGCATATGGAGTTTTGTACAGATTTGGTCTCCTGCACCACCATAATAGAAAAAAGTTAGTGCACATTTTTTTGAGCAATTGAAATCTAATTTAGACATTCAAAAGTTATTATTACTATTTTATTTTAGAATATAGCATAAGTTTCCCGGCATGCCTTTTTCTTTTTTTGGGTGAATCGGCATGCTTATTATTCATGAATTCTGTGTCTTTTGCTGTATTTTTCAACCTTGAGAAAACCATTTTGCAGATGCCTCTGTTTTCCTTCAATATTCAATTTGGTACCCATGTTTTCTTCTCGTTTTATTAAATCATTCAATTTTGCTTTATTAGTACTGTTAACGAAGCTATAAAACTTAACGGTTTTAACGGAACAAAATTAAATGATTTAATAAAAAAGAGGAAAAAAAGGCATTTGTATTAAATTTAAAAAAAGTATAAATACTTGCAGAAATATTTTCTTCTATCAACCTCTCCAACTGCTTCAAGAGTCCGTCCAAATCACATTTACACCCTTGAATTTTATTAAAATCATTTCTTTTCTTCTAAAATATGAACTTAGATTTAATCTTAAGTTTTTACCATAAGTCTGCAGCATATTATACAAAAGTAAGAAAATAATGAAACATATACAGATATGTCTATCGATTAAAAATTTGAAATCAAACTAATTTGAAATGTAACTTTTAATTTCATGATTTTAAAATTAAATTTGTAACTATAGTAAGGAATTGCAAAAGAAAACGACCAAAATCTATAAAAAAAAAATTTTAAGTATGTCCCTAACTAAATAGGGATATTTTTTAAAAGATTATTTGTTTTTTGTTTTGAAAGGTTTTAAAAAATATCATGAAATTCTGAAAAAAATTTCCATCTCACACGCATATCATATTCCATTACAAGCAATATTTTAAAAACCAAACCAGATGTCAAACTGAAAAGATTAACGGGTCATGATTCAAACTGTTAGATCGGTTAGACCGTTTGATCGGACTGTTAATATAATAATTAGATAAAAATAATATTACATAAATATGTAATGATGTATATAAGAATAAAACATCAAATTTTCAAAAAACACTATGATCTTTGAAATAATTGACAAATTAAATTATAAAGTGATAAAGTGATTTTTTATGATTTTAGATACAGGTATGATTAGTAATAAAAAAATCAAAAGAATGAAATTAAATATATATAAAATTAATTTTAAAAATACAGTAAATTTTTAAGATGTATCCTGCAGATATGATGTGATCTCACAATTAATTCAATGAGCTCTCTTCAAAGTTAATATTAAAAAATAAAAAAATAAAAATTATAAGTGGCAAAAACAAATCGATTGGATATATTATATCCACGTTTAACTCATCCACCTCACTTCAAAAAGATAACATTGAAAAAAGAGATGATATTAGTAGCCTTCAAAATTGGTTCTCTTCAGAAATTTTTTAAACGGATTTTATTTAATAAAAAGATTTTTTTAAAACAAAATACTCCCTCGGCACTAATTATAAAAGCTAATTGATTAATTTAAGAAAATTAAAAAAAAAATTAAGTTAGTTATTTGTAATAAATATATGTTGTCTTTTCTAAAATATATTTACTAATTAAGTATATTGGCTATAACTATCATTGTTAGAAAGACTATCTTAAAAAAAATGTATAAATATGAGAGACAAAATGGATTGGAGGTCTTATATTTAGGATCAAAATAAAAATCAAACAAGACCTTGTATTAAAAAGCAAGTATAATATTTATTAGTAATCAATTAATTTCAATTTACCAAGAAGTGTTTCATACGATCATATAATTAATAAATAATTAATATGTATATATATTTATAAGATATAAGATTAAATATATTTATAAAAAAATATGTTTATAAAAAAACAACAAGATACATATCTGATATGTTCTCACACCCTCCTTTTTTCTTTCAAAAACAAAAAATTTTTACTTTTTTCAAAACCATGATTTTGAAACTAAAACCATAGTTTTGACTTAAAACTATGGTTTTGGTTTTTTTAAAGATGTTTGGGTGATTTTTTCCCAAATGACGGTTTGGTTATCACCCAAACACTCCCGTACGAGAGCGTTGCTCTCTCTCCCTCTCCGGTGGCTGCTTCTTCATCTTTTGTTTCTCCCGTTCGACTCTCTTAAATTCCAGCGACGAAGAACGGCCCTGAGATCGGAGGAGGAGACAACGGTTCTTCTTTCATCTCAAGAGAAGAATCGATTTTACAGATAAGAGTTTCACCCCTCTTCCTTCTTCAATGAATATATCCCCCTATTTCAATCTTCATCTTCTATCCTCGACTTCTTCTTCATCCTCCTTCTTTGATCTTCATCCCCGTTCTGTATGAGACTCAATACCCCGTTCTGTAATTTCGCTCCTGCGAAGTTCGACTTCCACGTTCTCCCGATCTCTGCGCCTCTGCCTCTGGACGGTAGCCGTCGTTGGCGGCTGTATCTGCATCTCTGCCTCTCGTTGTTGCGTCCTTTTTATGGCTCCAGATTCTCGCCGTCGAACGTATCAGATCTCAACCTGAGTTCGGTGCCCTGCGCCCTCGCCTCTCCCAGTTAGCCTTCTACTTTGTTCTTCGTGAGTTTGTGGGCTTTTGGGCTTTGGCTTTAGGTTCGTCTTCTCTCCAGACTCCAATTTTAAATTCACTTTATGATTTTTGTTGAATATTGAATGTGTTTGTGTTTTAAATTGAGTACTGACTAATCCTAAGTGCTTGTGTGTTCGTGAGAAGATTAGTTAAATGCGCTCTGTATATGCTTATTTCAATTTTCAACAGTAAATATTTAGCTGCTGGACTGGACTATTGGGTCGTAGAGTGGACTATTTCTGGTATGTGGTGATTGAAGAACCTTCTTTTGAAATTCAGAATCACATTGAAGAGTCTTATAATTATACTCAATTGTTGAACCATTGTTATTTCTTTCTGTGTTAAAGGTGACTTTGGAAAGCTTACTGTTTCATGCATGTTGACAGCATGAGGAGGTGAATTGATTAAATAGAACTCTTGTGATGGTGAAATAAAGGCTAATTATATATTTAAGCCTAATCTTTAATGATTTCTTTTTTCCTTTTTAGTCACATCGATGGATTTTGCTTTCAATGTTTGATAGCACTCAAAACTACCCTTCTAGAGTTGGCATTTGTCATAATGACTACATGTCCTATAAAATTTGCTGTTCCTATGCTGGCAGCACAATAATATTAAGTGTTTGTATGTGGTTGAGTTTTTAGAGCCTTTTAAAACACAACGTTAAACAATTTCTCCCAGGCCCTTTCAACTACATTCAGGTTAGGTTTGGGAGATTGCAAGACAATGACCGTGGTAAAGAAGTCCTAAAGCCAAATTAGACTTGATTCCAAGTAGAGTAAACATTTATCATGTCATAAGTCTGTACATGAATTGGGCATCTTTAGCTGTGGTCTACTTATAGTTACGTAATCTTGGCCACCTCTTTCATGTTATCGTTTGAGGCTCTTCGAGCATCTTGGAAGAAGCAATTGGAATGAGGTGTTGAGACTTAAGACTTTCAAAATGAATGGAAATATGCATTACCTTAGGCATGCCTAACTAGCTAGCTTCACTGTCATTTACCAACTTAATTACCATTGTTGTTTTCAAATGAATTTTCAATTGATGTTGCTTGAGCAATGAAAACGTCTTCTAACCAAGCATAAAGCTGAGCAGACTAAAAAAGGAAGGGAAAATCATGAAAGTTCCCCCCATGATTCCAAGTGGAACTTGAAGTGAAATTAGAGATCATGGCAATTCAATCCACCAGCAATTAAGCAAACTAACAACCATCAGTGAGACGGAAGCAATGACCCCTTAAAAATTCAACGCTACTAATAGATTTCTTATTTTTGGGGGTGGGGATGGTGGGAATGCTGTTCTATAACAACCATCAGTGGTTATGATAAATTACCTGATAAACACGGAATTTTCAAGTAAATCTTCTACTTAGAAAAAAATTATTTTTTTCTGGTATGTGTGCGTTATGTTTAGGATTCTCGTTTTATATGCACAACTAAGATTTATGATTTTACACATAGGATTTTAGATCTTAAGGAATGCTGTTCTATAATTCTATAAATAAGTTTGTTCAACTAGTTGTGGATGGGCTAAGCAAATTTCATAAGAAGATTAACATGAATGTAATGTTTTCGAATCATATTACTGTATTAACCTATTATTTGTTTGACTAAATGCAGTGCTGCTATCTCCATGCTAGTCTCCCAGTGAATTACGTGGAGTCTTGTGTAAAAAAGTGTAGCTTCCCTGCTTGTTCAGTATCCTCTCTCAAGTTAGAACTTGACTTCGCTCACCAAACAGTTCCTTGGAAGCAATACGTTTGAAAACAATTCCCCTTTTGAAATTTGTGGTACACTATGGCAAGCACACGTTCCTGCAAAAGTTGTAGGAAAACTTCTCTTGTTAGGGATGATGTGTCTGGGGATTTGATATGTTCCTTGTGTGGTGTTGTTCAAGAATATGATCAGTTTGAAGCCCATATTGGTGGCATCAATGGTCCACAAGGAACATTCATCCGTGTTGGAACTTCTGGTGCAGGTACTATATATAGTTACAAAGAAAGGAAATTCTTTCAAGCCCAAAGTTTGATAGATGAATTAACTTCTAGATTAGGTATATCTTCAAAAATGAGTGATATTAAAGCGATGATTTCTACCATCACAGAGGGTGAATTTGGGCAAGGTGATTGGTTTCAGGTTTTAATTGGTGCATGTGTGTATATAGTGATGCGAAAGGATAATCGCCCAATGTCTATGGCTGAAGTGGCATGGGCAGCCGGATGTGATGTTTACGAATTGGGTAGGATGATTAAACGAGTTATTGATTTTATGGATTTGAAAAAATCAGATTTTCCAGAGTTTGATATCGTGCATTCATTGGAAAGGGTCCTTAAGATTTCACCATCTTTTGCTAGAATTGACAGAAGCAAAGTAGACAGAATGCGCAAGCAGGGGATATTTTTGTTACAGTGTGCAATGAAGGGGTTTTTGAGTACCGGACGTAAGCCACTTCCATTGGTAGTTGCTGTTTTAGTTCTGGTCGCTGAATTGAATCAAGTTGAAATTGGAATTAGCGAGTTGGCCAAGGAAGTTCATGCTGTTGTTTCCACTTGTAAAACACGATACAAAGAGCTTTTAGAGAAACTTGTAGAAGTGGCACAAGTTTTGCCTTGGGGAAGAGATATCACCACTAGAAACATTGTCAAACATGCACCATCTGTAATTAAGTATTTGGAGACAAAGGCTATGTTGAAACCTGTTGATAAAAGGAAAGGCCTAGATCGTCCTGAGGCTAATTTGGCAGAGATGGTTAGTGAATGTTTAAGAAAACTCGATGAAAATGGACACAAGACTGATTCCATAAACCTCCCAAGTGATTCTCATTGTAGCATATCACAAAACAATATTCACTCTACAAGACCAAGTGCTAGGGATGCAAACAAACTGCTTTATTCACCTGAATGTTTGTCCATGTTGTATGAGCAATCTTCCGAGAGGGTCGATCTTCAGGATTGTAGTGAGTGGTGGAATGGAAAATCAGAATTGAGCAAAAAGCTTGTGCTCAAACAGTTACTCGAGAAGGATGTCGGATTCGAATCCATGCCACCTTCTTTTATTTCAAACTGCTTGAAATGTGAGATGAGAAGAGAGAAGATCAATGCTGCTAAGGTGCGTATAGATAGAATAATGCATCCATGGAATTCTGATTTGGGTGCTGATTGTTCTGAGAAAAAGTTCAAGAGAAGAAGAAAGCTTGTTGATGGAGTTGATTGGGAAGACCTGATTATTGAGACCTTACTTCTTCATCAAGTAAAGGAGGAGGAAATTGAGAAGGGATACTACGGTACGTTGCTGGATTTGCATGTGTTTAACTCTGGCATTGTATGAGATTTTCCTAATTTTCTGGCTTTGTAATTAGCTCCTGCTTGGAGTTTCTCATCAGTCCGTATAGCGTTTTTGCTTTTCTTGTTATCTTCATTTTTTTTTCTGGCGAATTATCCACAGGTATCTCCATTATTAATATTTGTTGATAGAAGATAAAATTTTATTCAACTAAATTTATATGAATTCGTGAGTCTGTTCCCTTTTCTAAAGTATAATGAAAGTTTAATCATTTGAGTTGTTTTATACAGATAAAAAGAATATGCAAGTACATAAATTAGGCCATTTTTGCATACATAACTTTAATGATATTTTGAAATGGAGCTGGTATGTTAGACGCCATGCAACCCTATGCATATATGAATAAAAATGTGCATAAACTTTTCACCTTGCATAAAAATGTCGAACGTTATAGCTTTTCCCACCCCTTTTTTCAATAATTTTATCAACTTTATATTTTATCACTTGTTTTTTTATATTTTTCTCAATTACTTTTTTCAATCATATGCATTGAAACTACTTTTTGATTAGGAGTTTCATTAATATAAGCAATCAATAGGTATTTAAATAAAAATTATATAGTTGGGAGATAAAGTGAATTAAAATCTTATAGTTATGATTTAAAATGAACTATTTGTCTAGCTCTTGTCTACAGCATGAGAGGTAGTATGTTTTTTTAATCTTATTTATAAGATACTTCCAACATATTTACACAGGCCAAGAAAAATCTTAAAATGCATTAACTCTCTATTAAAACATAATAACTTTTCAAACTTACTCCTATTTAACATATACATCTTCAAAAAAAAACTATATATACTATAATAAATGAAGAACGAAATAATATATTTATGTTAAAAATTTAATGAAATAACTTATAAATAGGATTAGTAAAATCTTTTCTCTCTATCCTATAAATAAGATTATAAAAATATTATATAAAAGCGAGTCGTAAAGTAGTTTCCTCAATTGCGTACACCACGCGCACCATTGAACTTACAGCGACAATTTCATACATATAAACAAATGATCCCACGCCACGCGGTGCCTACCCGTTAATTCTAAGAGGTCAAGCTCGAAAGATTTTGTTGGAAGATTCCACAGGATTAATTGACGATCGGTAACTTAATTAATTAATAAAGCCCTAATTATAAAATAATAATCTGGTGATTGTGACTCCTATTTTTACTGTTCCAGTCTTAAATATAAGACCTATTTTGTAGTGTAAAATATAAAACCTATTTTATGGTATAAAATATAAGACCGATTTTATAATGTAAAATTACATTACAAAATAGGTTTTATATTTAGAACCGGAATAATATTAATTAAGGTTTATTTCTTGTTGGGGTTGTTTTCTCATGACCCTAAAAATATCTAAAGGATTTTCCATGCACTTTCACGTCATGACTCTAGAATAAACATGTGCCTATAGACAAAGAGTGCATATAAATTGTCATCAACTTCACAATTAAGCAAATTGATTGGAGGGCAAGAAATCTTCCTGGGGACCACACGTGTGTGACATCATAGTACTATTTCTTATAGATTTGTCTCAAATTATTATTTTGCTTGGCTTCAACGGGACAACATAAAGTCGTGTCTCTCTTATGCCTATAAATAGACCATATGGTTTTATGATTTCTTCTATACAGTCCTCTAGGAAGCTTAAAACATTTGCTTCACAAGCTTTAAGCTCTCTCCAATTCCAACTTTCATCATGACGGTAATAACAGATATATTTCTGATTGTTATTTTGTTTCTTCATTTTTTATTAGAAATATTTGAATATCATATCGTCACCTTCTAACTATAGAAATTATTGTACCGCCTCCTCTAGATAAAAAGTTTGTTTTGACTATAAATATAATATCCCAATTAATTTTATCTTTGAAATTTATAATTTTTTTTCAAAGTATCAATATTGATTACATATAATTAAGAAGTAATTATAAATGCACGTGATTAAAAAAAGTATATCTTTGTACAACCAATACACATTTGTTATAAATAAGATGGGGCGGATGAAGTATAAACCTGCAGGCTATTTTACCAATAATGCTCTATAGCACAAACGTATCATTGATAATTTCTTTCGTTATTATTTCAGAATATAAACCTCGTATCATCATTTTTTTTTCCGGTGCTTTAATGTATATATCTGTTCGTGTGTGTGTCTGTATTTATGAACAGAGCAGTGCCTTTTTTTTTTTTTTTTGCGTGTGCTTTAAACTCTAGATGCACTGTTATTGTTGTATGGCCAGCCTCAAAATTCAATTATGTCAGTGAACGCTATCATTTGTTCTAACCTTTGGTTTTCTCTTCTCTTGTTTTGCTTTATACATATACATATGTACACAGATAGTAGAGATCAGCGTGAATATAGACTGCGAAGGTTGTGAACGCAAGATAAAGAAGGCCCTTCAAAAGCTACCTGGTAAGAACCTCACATCTTTCTAATCTCTGATCTAAATTATTATACATATATATAGTAGCATTATCAAGGTGTTTAATCCATACGTTTTTAATAGTCGATGAAAATGTTTGCAGGAGTTGATGATGTCGACACAGACATGAGAATGCAGAAGGTAACTGTGATGGGATGGGCAGATCAAAACAAGGTTCTGAAGGCTGTGAGGAAGACTGGCAAGAAGGCAGAGCTGTGGCCATATCCATATGAACCAGAGTATCACGGCTTCGTCCGCCATTACTGCAACAATAATAACAACTACAGCTATGAATATGACAATGATGATGACGATAATGGAAGAAGAAGACGAAGAAGAAGATCTGTTTCCAACTATCATTCTTCGTCTTCTTCTTACAACTATTACAAGCATGGGTATACTAATGGAGACGACTTTGGGTACTACCAGAAGCCAATTGGTTCAATAGTGGTCAGTGAAAAGGCCATGTCTGTGTTCAGTGATGAAAACCCTCATGCTTGTGCTATAATGTGACATGTGTTTGTGTGTGTGTGTTCAGTTTCATGTGTTCTTTTTTTCTCTCTCCAAAGAATAAATTAGGGTTTTGCTTTCAATGTGGGTGTAAAATGTAAGTAGAACCATTTGAGAAGCATCCATGGAGTGGAAACAAGGTAAGCTATATATAATGCCAATAGATGTAGTGGATTGCGTACGTATATGGTGGGTGTTTGATTAAATTCATGCGTTATTTGATTATTAAAATGGCCAATCTTGCAAGGAAAGCTTGTGAACACCATACAAGTAAAGGTTAAAAAAAAGGCTCAGGAGCACTATTTATATTTTTTTTTTTATTTGTTACTCCTCTTATTCTTAAGATACGATTTAATTGGAAAGTTAATGTTGATCTTATATATATGACATGTTGTACATGTTTATTAATTTTTTTTCCCCAAATTAGCTTTATTGATATTCCCACAATAATAAGAAAGTAAAAGATGGAGGAAAAAAATTAAAAAATATACTTAGGGTGTCTTGGAAAAAACAAATCACATCAACTAATTTAAGTCAAATTTTTACTCCCTTCAAATTAGCTAATTGAGTCTTATATTAAGGACAGAAAGAATAGTATTTTTTAAGTGCCACAAGAGCCTGTGTTACCAAATGTTGCAATAACGCTTGTCAACATTACTGCCTCCTGGGTCCTGTCTCTAATATAAAAGTTAACGAGAAAGTTAAATTTGGTTTTAAATATAAAATTATAATTATTTTTGTCCTTTTTATTTATCTAAACTAACTCAATTGATTGTATATTTATGTTAAGGGATTTTGCATCAAAAGTAGTTTCAATCCAATTGATTTAAGAATGTATTTTAGGAAAATCAACATATATTTTTAACATATAACTGATTTGACTATTTTTCTTAATCTACCTAAATTAATAAAATAGATATTATATTAAGAACGAGAGGTAATAATATTGTAATGTCAACAATGAGTTACCTTAGTGGCATTATGAGCTCAAAGCAAATTAAACTATAAGGAGGAAACATTATACTTACTTTAAGATATCATTGCGTGTAAGTGAATGATTTAAAATGGTATTTCTTCTAAATAAAGAAGATATATAAATATATATTCATTTACATTTTATTTTCATTAAAAAACTTGTTAAAATCACATAAATAAGGTTATAACTGTTTGTGTTAATATTATCAATTGATTTCATATTAATAATAGTCTATTTCTTCCCCCTTTTTTAAAAAAAAAATGAAAAGAGACTAATACCTCTCCTTCTCTTCCCTCCCATAACATAGAGGGGTTGCACGATAACACCCCTCCCCTTCCTCCCTTCTCAAATGCCTAACTGAACATAACATTACAAATAGTATTGTGTAACCAGGGACAAATTTCCAGTACCAACACTCTTCTAAAACCATATATTCCTACAAACAATTGAGAAAAAAAAAAGTTTCGTCTTTTCATTTATGGAAATGATTATTTATTTAAAACCCAAAAAATATTTTAATTATAATTATTATATTAATTAATACTTGACCTATTCCTTATAAGAATTCCATCATGTTTGATAATATAATACTCCTCTCTGATCTTTAATATAAAATATATTTAAGTAATTTGATTATATTATAAAGTTAGATAAATTAGTTAATCATGAGAAATATAACATGTTTTTCTTAAAATATCATAAGAGAAATCCCCAAAAAAAATGATTGTTGAATTTCAAAATTTTAAATAAGAAATTATTACAAAAATATGTTGTCATTTGTTTTTTTTAGTGTAGCCATTTTCCTTACAAATATAGTAATCAATACTGATTTAGAATTTTAAAATTTAACAGTTATTTTCTTGGGATTTTTTCAAATCATAATCATCTTCCTTAATATCATCCATCTCCTATTTAATTATAGTTGAAGGAGTATCAATAGGAGTAATTTAAAAAAAATTAATAAATATGTTTTATTTAGATCATTAATTCTAGATTATGGCCTAAACGTGCTTTTCAACTCATTTTGCACGTGTTAATATTATGCTTCCCACACGCCACTGTGTAATTCAGACTGCCTTCGGTAGGTAAGGTGGAAGATTATGGCGGATTTTGAGTGCAGTGAGGAGGGATGCAGGGGATAAACTAAATTATGGTGCTTACGTAATCTTGTGCCTTAGCCGGCAGAAATTAGGATTTGGGTCATTCTCTCTCTCTCTCTCTCTCTCTCTCTCTCTCTCTGTGTCTGCCTGTGGCGCTACGGAATTGTTTTGTGTATATATATGGCAACGGCCCCGTTGATTCACGCGCGGTGCGGTTATGCTTCTCGAATTGTTAGTCGGAAAAATGTATCTCAGCAAGGACCTATAGGATCTTCTTCGAATGGATTATCGTCGTCCTTGTCGTGTTCTTCTTCTTCTTCCTCCCCTTCCAACTCCGATTTGAGTTTCCCTTCTGGTAATTTTTTTTCTCCTTTTCGTTGTTACCTTATTCTATACTCTTAAAGCTTTAATCGATTTTTATCTCTACTAATTGGGTATATTTTGTGCCATTGTAAATTCAGAATCTCTGAATTTGGTTTTGGTTTTATTAGTGATTAGTGATGGAACATTATTAAGTGTCGTATTGTAGGGTCTGTTATTCCCCGAACACTGATCAAAGGATCATTTATTCTTGCCTTAATTGAAGTCGCCTATTTTTCTTCCATGGGCTGGCTTTTTCTGTATTATTTGGATCTCTAGAGCGTTTTTTGTTTTATCTGATGGTTCTTTAGGGACCACTGTTGGATGGCAATCTTAAAAGGGGCCTTGATACCCAATCTGCGACCGTTTTCATTTATGTCCATTTGCTGGAGCTGGATAGCTTTGAAGTAATTTACTTTGTGACTGCTGTTGTCATAAATAACTGTTGCTTCGATAGGAGAGGCAACTTATTTTATAAATCTATAACTAAGATTCTTGAAAATTAGTTGATGTTGGTTTGAAGTTCATAGTCAGATCTTCCTTGCAATGTGTGGGACAAAATTCACATGTCAGAAGTCTTCCTGAAGACTCTGCTGTACGATTATTCTCACCGACCCATTATTTTATCATCTTCAATTTTTATTCAGACATTGGCATTGCTTTGGGACTAGTCTCACGAACAAAGTCAATTTATTTCATTGAAAGAATAAACACTTGTATAGAGTAAGCATGTGGGTACAGAACTTAGAGAGATTGGGATTTTGGGTATAATAGCATTTGTAGTGGCACCGCAGATTTTTGGCTTTTGATGTTTAGTAACATATACTCTTGGCGGAGTTGAGAAGGATTTCTATTTGGATGAGAGATACTTCAGCCCTTTCCTTGTTCAAATTGGTATTCAGTCCACCAAATGGCGGCTCACTAGATGTGATACACGAGATGGAGAAAGTTGAGTTAAATTCAATGTAATGCTTGATTTAGTTTAGACAAAGAACAGAGGAGATATCTTTTAGTGATCGAGAGATATTTTAGACTCAGTATCTAGAAGGTATGAGTATTTATTAATATCAATTTATATTATACAGGCAAATACCACACATTCCATGCAGTCTGTTTCCATAAATCCTTCTCCTTGATGAAGATATGTGCAGTTTTGATTGGATAACAGCATCAATTTATTTATGTTGTTCCTGTAGTAATGAGTTTAAAGCTAGTCATCATGTAGGACTCTGTTTCATGTGTCTTTAATATCTAGTTCTTTTTTTATTTAGTATAGAGGTTTACTCCTTGGGTTGCAATTTCTCTTTTCTCTACAAATTGACCTTTAATTTTGTGAGGAAAATAACCTACTAATATTGGTGGAAAGGAACTCTACCTTAATTTTTGTTAAGTAGTTAGATCTTAGATGGATAGATCAACTTTTGCAGGCACAAACAGTGGACAGAGACGCCAGGGCCTTCGAGTACAAAGTATGAGTACCACTACTCAGGGAAAGTCTCTAGACAGAAGCATTGGGAATTCGAAGAATGACCCAGATCATCTTCTTGTTCTTGTTCATGGTATCTTGGCCAGGTATATTTTTCCTAGACTAACATTTTTGCTTAAAAAAATATGTCCGTTCTTCAACTCTAGGTGAAATCGGGCTGAACATGAATTATGGTTTTCATTTTAACAATAACTTATTTCATTGATCTATATGTATTAGATCTCAATAGGAGGCCTTGTTGATTAGGGCTCTGAAAGTGCTTTAGTTTATTAGCTTCCTAATCAGTTCATATGCAACTCATCCTATTGCTATTCAGTTATGGATGCCATCTTTTGATGTACAGATAGAAGCCTTTATCCTTAAAATTGAGGTGTGCGTGTGTATGTAGGACTGGAAAAATAGCCGGAAAAACAAAATTAATTGCCATTAATCGGTGTTTCTGCAGTATAAGGCAATTTCGCCACTTTTCACTTGGTATCCTTGAAATTGAAGTTCAAGTTAAACATGGCAGTTGCTTTGGTAAAATGTTTTTCCATCATTACATCAGTCAGAATGGGTTTCTACTAAAATGTTATCGTTATTTTTTTCCTAAATGGAAATATTTGGGTATCTAAGTAAATATTCTTCCCATTTGGTTGCACGTCTTTTCAAAGCAGAGAATTGATTACTTGAGGGTCTTACTCTAATAATGAAAACTGGAAGAAAAGCCTCTGCCAAGTGGTTGACTTGTTTTTAATTAGTCGAGCTGTTTTCCACTTTTGGTGGTTCTAAATTTGATTCAAACAGTGAATAATATAGTTATGCATAATCTCACAGTATGACAATGGATATTGGACAAGTTTCATAGTCAATCTATATTCTGTTGTTTTTTCCTGTTTAATTCAGTTATAATATATCATTTTGTCTCAACTGTTGCAGTCCAAGTGATTGGATTTATGCAGAAGCAGAGTTGAAAAGGCGTCTTGGAAAAAACTTTTTAATTTATGGTAAAATCCTTTATACTTGAAATTCTGTACTTCTGCACAATATTTATTATATCTCACACACGCACAAACGGGCACCTTTCTTTTTTGAGATCACTCATATTAAATTAATGCTAAAATATTAGCATGATTGGGGAAAATCTTGTTTCATTACAAAATTAAGGCTTTTCTAAAGTCCGTGGACAATCAACAAATCACATGAGATGCACATAAAATGGTCAAAGAATTGAAGAGAACAATTGATATTATGTATCCCTTGACTTATTATGTCCAGCTCACTGGGTTAATTAAGCCAACTTGGAGTATATCTCCCTCCAGGCTTCATTTGGCGAGCAAAACCGTACTTGTACTCTTATGCTGAACTTTTTCAGTTTGTAGTGCATGATAAAGTCTATTTATAGCAGTTAGATAGAAGTAAGCATAAGCTATAAGTGATGACAGTAATTGCAAAGGTGGTGTATAAACTTTTGTTTTTTTATTTCCTTGAATGCCTCATCTATGAATGCCAAAAGCAAAAGAAAGTTAATGATTGAGCAGAAGTCCTTGATAGTTTTTTGGTCTATGCAGTAAGTTCATCAAACACTTACACCAAGACATTAACTGGGATAGATGGAGCTGGCAAGAGATTGGCTGATGAAGTGAGTCGTGAAATATACTTGTTTAAATTTTGAAATTGTTGACCCCATTGATTATGGTGAATTGAAGTTTGATATGAACTCATTCAAGTTATATACAGGTCATGCAGGTTGTAGGAAAGACTAAGAGTTTGAGAAGAATTTCCTTTCTGGCCCACTCTCTAGGTGGCCTGTTTGCTAGATATGCAATTGCTGTCCTTTATTCACCCCCTGCCAATAACTGTGACCAACCTGATGATCTAGATAACTGCATGATCGAGAGTTCGCAGAGAAAAAGCTTTTCCAGGGGAGGGTCGATTGCTGGATTAGAGCCAATCAATTTCATAACCTTGGCAACTCCGCACCTTGGTGTCAGGGGAAAAAAGCAGGTCTGTCCCGGACGATAATAATTATTGGACCATTGTTGTTGACAAATGGCATTGAGCTGCTGTTTTTCTTTTAAATTTTTTTTTTGGGGGGGGGGGGGGGGGGTTTATCGCCATCTTACTTTTGCTCTGTGATTCTGTTGCACTTATTTGCTTATATGCTCGGCCATTGCTCATATTTTTTCTAGTTTGGCTCCATAATGAATCAGCAGGGCCCCTTTTATGCTTTCTAGCACCTTCGGTGGTCTCAGACCTAATGCTTTGAGGCTGTTCATTTCTCATAATTCTCATGGGGCTATGTTTGATGGGATGAGATAGAAGTTTAAGAAAACATTAGTTCAAGAGCTTTTTAGTCCCTTAAGAAATCCATATCCATAATTTCTCTAAGAGAAGCATGAGTTGAAGCCCACAGTGAAGCCAGCCGGGGAAAAACTGCATTATGCCATTAAAATTGCAAATGTAAAATGAAGTCAAGTCACTCGTTTTTTTCTGCTGAAGCCTTTTCTTTTCATTTTTTTTTTGTTACAAATTTTCTGATGGTGTAAAATTATGTAAAATGTCAAATATCTGCATTCTTTTTTAAACATTTTAGGATTTAGTGCGATCAAGGGCATTTTTGACTAACAGAAACCCAATTATTTACTCATTAATTAGCACTTATTGGATGCTGCTTAACGTTTGTTTCTGATTCTTTTCTTTTTCTCTAATTGTGCTCTTCTTATACATTCCCTGTTCTTACTTTTATTTTCAAATTGATATAATTTCCCTATATCTTGGCTTAACCAAATTCATACATTGATTTTCATGACGGCCACTGCTCTTTTTTTAAAAAAAAAGAAAGAAAATTGGCATGACCTGATACACTTTCTCCAACTGAAATATTTTCCTTTCGTTTTTTTTTTTTCCAACACCTTTATTGGCCCTGTGCTTAGATTTGACAGACGTGTTCTATTTCCCAGTTTATGGATCTACACAAAATCAGCTTTCCTATCTCAATTCTATTGTTTATTTATTTTACAAGTTTGACTATTTACCAAGTTTATTTTTCAGCTTCCATTTCTTTTGGGTGTCCCAATCCTAGAAAAGCTTGCTGCTCCAATAGCTCCAATTTTTGTTGGACGGACTGGCAGTCAGCTGTTCCTTACTGATGGTAAACCAAATAGACCACCACTTCTTTTAAGGATGGCTTCTGATTGTGAAGATGGAAAATTCATGTAAGCAAGCAAATACTTCTGTCCTTATGTGGCTACGTATTCTTCTGATTTTGTTGAGTGATATTTAATTCAATGTTAATAAAGTTCTCTGTTTTGTAGATCTGCTCTTGGATCATTTAGATGCCGTATTGTTTATGCTAATGTATCTTATGATCGTATCCTTAGTATCTTTTCCTTAACTGTAGCTTGATAAATTTGTTAGCTCTCTCCTTTTCAATTTCGTTATTTTTTCTTAAATTATCATAGATATGGTGGGGTGGCGCACATCTTCTATAAGGAGGGAAACCGAACTTGGTAAGGTGAATATGATAATTTCTCCTCTTGTATATTATTTCTTATTCTTTGAGTAGTGGTATCTCAAATAAAATGTGCAAGATGGATATTACATGGTTGGATTAAGCTAGAGTAAACACCAAGTATTTTGGGCAATATTATTACACTAAGCTGTTGAAAGCCTTATGATCTGAGTGGGTGAGACTTTGTGGTAGTCTCAAAGCATATATCAGAAAAGCGTTATCTTCAGTTTATGTACTTGAAAGATAAACGTCATTATCAAATGCTTTTCAAAATCTACGGAATAGTAGTATAGAGTTGAGAAAAAGTCTAGATAAGTATTTTTTTGTTTATAAATATTTTGTGTATGATGACTAGTTGTATTGAAAATTCTTTGCAATGTGTACTCTTTATTCTGTTATAACACTTGGCATTTATATAGGCCAGTTGTTATAACAGAATAGCTTACACAAAGAAATTCATTCAGTAGCATGTTATCCTCGAGCTTCACACAAGCTCTCAGCTTGTTCTCCTTTCTTTGGTTTACTTATACTCCCATCATCATTGATATAGGGTGAGCAATCTCTGGATTTAACCCATGAAACCATTCATCATTGGGCTTCTCTTTGACAGTTTCCTTAATGAGTCCATAATCATCTGGATGATTAAAAGTTCGATGTCAAGAGCTTAAAAAGGAAATTTCATTCATATCAATCATGTCTTGAAGACAACAAAGGAAATAGCAGTAAATAATAGCCCTAATTTAAGTCTTAATTGATGTCTTAATCTCTGATTTATTAAATTATTACTTGTATAATTTTGTTAGTTCTGTTCTTTGGAAGCAATGTACAGTTAACAAATAGACATAGTGGGAGGTGTTGATTTCCTAGTTCTTTTGGGGCAAGATTGTTCAGTGCAAAGGTGATAAAGGTGCATATAATGTCTTCTATGGGATTCTAATTATCTCTGTCAATTGGCAGCCTCCTCGCCGATCTTTGGTTGGATACAAGCATGTTGTTGATGTGGAATACTGCCCTCCAGTACCTTCTGACGGCCCTCAATTTCCTCTGGAGGCGGTAAAAGCAAAGGAGGCGGTGCAAAATGCACCTAGTACGCAGAATACTGTGGAATATCATGAAATTATGGAAGGTGACTATTTTTACCAAGAATAACTAAAGATATATAAAGTGCAAGTTGTGTCACTGTTGTCCAACTTCTAAAGCTGCTCTGTATTTTTTAAACAGAGGAAATGATACGTGGATTACAGAAGTTGGGATGGAAAAAAGTTGATGTCAGCTTTCACTCAGCATTTTGGCCTTTCTTTGCTCATAACAACATTCATGTACTGCAACCACGTGATGTTTCTGTCAAAGGTATTGATTTTAGTGACAATGTTTCTTGACTCGAGTATTTGTCTGATTTCAGGTAAAAAATGAATGGCTTCACAATGCAGGAGCAGGAGTGATTGCTCATGTTGCTGACAGCTTAACTCACCAGGAAACATCGTCAATTTTGGCTGCTAGCTTGTAACTAGTATCTGTAAATACAATATGCTTCAGACATAACTAATTGCATTATAGAGTATGGAAACAATATGTCTGCTATCTTGTGATTAATTGCATTATGATGTTAGGAAGTAATCATTCTTTTATAATGGTCATTGATAAAATTTTGCTCATTTTTATGATACTGAATTTATTTGGCATATATGCTTTGCTCAAGCCTATAGTAGGAATGAGTTTATTGTAATGAAGCCATATCTGACATCAACTGTATCATCTTTGTTTATGTACAAGAATCCTTCGTGTACATATATAATAGGGATGTTAAACATGTTTCCATTGGTCATGGTTTATGATATGAGCCAAACTGTTAATACCTCGTGAATAGTACGGCCTACTATAAATTTTGTATTTTATACCAATTGAGGTTTTGCTGGATGCTACTGAACTTACCGTGCGTGAACTGGTTTGGTTCCACTTTGCATTAGCTTGCTTTGATCTTGTTCTTGGGTCCAGTCAATTTGAATGGGTACCCTAATAGGAGGCAAGCCATTCAAATTTGGAATTCCCTCCAATTGAAAACCTGGTTAAAGATTATAGTTTTCACTTGGTGAGGATCAAAGGAAGCTAATTCGAGTCTCTCTATCTCCTTTTTTTTGGCAATTACAGTTAGATTTTTTTCGCTGTGATTGGTTTGCATTGTTGGTTTTGAATAGGATGATGAACTACTCCACCTTAATTTGATGAATGATTTGATGTGATCAGGGTCCAACTTATCACAATTTGAATTTGGATTTAAATTTTGTTGATGAACCTCATGTTCGTTTAGCTTACGATGGTAAATGAGTTTATGACTTGTTTTTAATTTAGCCTAGATTGGATGTGGTTAATAGCATGATTACTGGGGCTATTGAATGAAACACTAGATTTTAAATAAAGGAGAATTTTAAGCAGGATTAAAATAAAATTAACTAAACCAAAACTAATAGGGATGGAGTCTAATAGAAGGGATTAGTTCTTCACAACGTGATGAATTAATGTTCGAATTCTCTTTGGAAGAAATGTTCACATTCAGTACTTGACAATGCTTTCAATAAGAGAATACCTATACATAACCAAAAAAATAAATAAATAAAACTATTTTTTAGGGAAAATTGCAACAAAAAAAAATCTTAGAAATTGAAAAATTAAAAACAAAGATCCGTTTACAAAAATTGTTGTCATTTGTTTATCAATTGTTATCAAAACCAATGTTAATATTATAAACATGCCTCTATTTACATGTCAAATTTCAATATTTTTATTGTAAAGTTTTTGTATTTACAAATAGTTAAGATCTTTCGATAACTATTTCTTCTTTAAAACACGTATATCACCAGGTTAACAGAGGGATTTCGGCATGAGGTTTCATTTCACGTTATTAAAAACTATTCAAATTACAGTTTTAGTAAAAACAAGAAATTAAAATATTCTCTATATTCCTTTCCAAACATGTCATGATCAGTGGTGAGTGGTGGGTAATCATGTCATGATCAGTTACTGTTTTTCTCCTTTGTTTCACTCTTTTTTTTCTTATATTCTTTGCCATTAAAATACATTTTTTAAATTAAAAACATAGGCGCTAACAACGGTTACAAGTTGCATCCAACTGGTAAAAAAATGTGCAGCAGTAGAGGGAAATATACATTGACAAGGGTGATGAATCCCATTTATCAATGGGTGGGTCCCCAGATAAAATCATATAATTTAATTTTAATTTTAATTTACTCTCGGGAAAATAGATCTTTTATAGTCCATGTGAGTTTGATTTGATGGTAGTTTGATTTGACTAAAAATTATAAGAATAAACTTTTGTCTAGCTAAAATTTAGATACTCCAACCATTCCTTTTTATAAAAAAATCTTACTCATAGCATTGCCCTCCAAGTACATAACCTTTTACTGTTTAAATATAAGAAATAAATTTTCTCTTTATCTGAAATTTTATACTATTCTTTTTACTCTAAACCCAATTAAAAATATACTCCATCATTTCTAAATATAAGACCTATTTTATAGTGTAAATTACACTACAAAACGAGTTTTATACTTAGGATCAGAGGAATATCACTTATTATCTTTGTATGACAAATTTTCATTCATTATCTCTCATGTAATCTCTTTACAAACAGAAATATATATAATTAAAAAAAACATGTATATATATTACGTGTTTATTGTTTTAACTAAATTTAATTAATATTTTAAAACGCATGATTTTTGTAACTATTTCTTATAATAAGTGACGGGGAGAATACTTTTTTATGGCAGTTAAAATTTAGACACTAAGTTAATTATATCTAAGTTAAAACTACATGCCTATATGGAGCAAAAGATTGATTGTCTTTATTTTTTATTTATATAATTATAACTTATTTCTTATAACAAACACAGCATCTACAATGCCCGCTCAAATGAGCCAAGCAACACAGGTTTCTTGTACATAATCATCAGTTCTTCAAGGTGGCCTTCCACTGAGTAGCAACTCGGGCGAGTGACTCATAAGATGGCCCACCGTTACTCAATGCTTTGATTGCACTTTCTTTCAGCTCTCTCGCTCTGCGTCTCATCTCCTTCCCTTCTCCTCCTTCCACCGTCATCCTCACCACCTTCTCTATCTCCTCCCTCCCAACAACCCTTGTCTCCGCCGTGTCCTCTGCCACCGCTTTCATCGCCACTCCAACTTCCTCTGCCAGCATCGTCGCATTCATCCTTTGCTCCGAGTAAAGCGGCCACGCTATCAATGGCACACCGTGAGCCAAGCTCTCCAACACCGAGTTCCACCCACAGTGAGACAGAAACGCCGCCGTCGAACTGTGTTGGAGCACCGCCACTTGCGGGGCCCATGATGGCACCTCCAATCCCCTTCCTCTGGCCCTCTCTATGAACCCTTCTGGTAAATAGGACCTCGCGTCGGCGTCCGTATCGTTACCGACGGTGAAAAATGAAGCACATGCACTGGCATCATCTGGGGCTCGAACCACCCATATGAACCGTTGGCCGCTCAGCTCGAGACCCCATGCTAACTCCGTGAGCTGCTCCGCAGACAAAGTTCCCCCACTGCCAAGAGCAACAAAGAGAACCGAGTCCTCTGGTTGTTTATCAAGCCACGCCAAACACTCCGACCCGGTTTCTGTTACCGATTCAGTTTCCTTTATCACCGGTCCGATAGGGTAAACCGGTGCTGTGAGGGTCTTCTTGTAGAAAGCATTCTCTCTGATGGCTCGAACCGGTGCAGGTTCGAGATCCTCCCATGTGTTCAAGAACACTCCATCCGCCATTGACACCCTACTGAGGTGATACAGATACCACTTGTAGTCGTCGCTCTTTCGGCTTCTGACCTGATCGAGAAGGTCGTGGGTTCGCAGCGGAGAGCATCCCGGAACTTGAATGGGCTCCGGAAGGTCAACGAACTCGCCGGCGACGTCACGGTCAAGCTGTGGGAGCAACAAGGAGAAGGCAAGCAAGCGAGTGGAAGCAGTGAAGAACATGAAGACAGGGATGGAAAGCTCCTTGCAGATTTCAAACGCTTGGGTGCAGAACAAGTCGATGACGACGGCTTGAGGCTTGTGGAGCTGCAAGAGTATGGATTCTAGGGAGAGCAAGGTTTGTTGTACGTTTACAGAGAGACGGGTAAGAGCTGGAGCGTCGTCTTCGACCACGCCGGAGAGATCAACGGTGGGGAAATCGACGACGGAGAGGCCGAGAGGGAGGTTGGGTGAGTGGAGGAGCTGAGTTTGGGCGAGGGAAGCTTCGGTGGGGATGTTGAGGAAGGTCACGTGACAGCCATGGAGGAGTACGAGACGCTTAGCGAACTCGAAGAGAGGCGTCACGTGACCCAAGCCAGGGCTCGCGAGAACGACGATGTGTGGTTTCTTGGATTGCGCTTCAGTAGCATCTCTCGCCATTGTTTCTGCAGAGGAAGAACAGGATGATGGAAGATAACGTTGAAGGAAGTTGTGAAAACTGATGATACAAAAGTCAAGTAATGCGAACAAATATATATAATCAAAAGAGACTCCTGGCTCGAAAGCTGAAGTAGAAAAAAAGGGTAGATAGATCAGAGAAAGAATAAATATTAGGTTCACGTGAAATTAGACTCTGGTGATGACAAAAATCAAACATCGGGTTGAATATAGAAAATCATTAGTTTTGCCATACCCACACACACCCCCTAATAAATATTATAAACATCTGCATCAATTAATAAAATTAGTTAAAATTAGTGGTTTTTCATAAAATATTAAAATCACTCTCCATAAAAATCATTAGTTAAAAATTTTAGTAAATTAATTAGAAATTTTTATAATTACTGAGGGATATATTAAGTGAGACATTGACAGGAGAGTGTGTGTAGATCGATGAGGTATATCTAAATTTTATGTTTATTTTTATTTTATAACTGCAGTTATCCAATAATTAAGGATTAATCACTTTTGAAATATAAAGATCATAGAAGTGTGTTTTTTCTCTTCCAATAAGATACTTCTTATACGTATAATAACCACAAATTTTATTTGTGCAAATAATTTATGAATAATTTTAGAATATAAGATGTATCAATTAAGCTGATACTACCTCTTGTCCTAAATATAAATACTAGTTAGAGATTAAATTTTGTTCTAAATATAATATATCAATCCAATTTCTCTATAAAATTCATAATGTTTTCTCTAAAAATATCCTTTTGGTTGGAAAGGGTCCCTATCAAGGAATTATTTTTATGCACATGATTAAATAGGTTAGTTTAAAAAAGTTAGCACACATTTACTACACTCAACCAACTTAACTAATTTTTTTAATTTTTTCAAATTAATTATATAGTTCTTATATTAAGAATCAAAGATGGTAACAAACTCTAAATTATAGTAAGTTTATATGTATAAATTATAAAATACTCCTTCCTAAAAACTTTTAAAAACTTCTCAAATGTGAATCATATTAAGTCTATTATTTAAATTAAAATTAAAAAGGATAATAGTATTTTCAAAAATGAATAATAAATATTTTATATAGCCTAAAATATATTTTTGGTCTTTTAAATTTACATTAAGTTTTAGTTTAATCCTGTAAATTAGTAAAGTGTATTTTTAGTCCTTAATCTTAACTTTGATGCTAAATAATGCTTATAATTATTTTTATATTTTAAATATAAAATAAGATTACATATCGACAACTTTATTTTAATTTTAATCATTTATTAATATAATCATTTTTATATTTTAAAAGAATGCTGATTAGCATGTTTGTTTTAGTTTTAAGATATAAAATAGTTATAAATATTTGTTAATATTTAATTGTTGAGTCCAGATTTAAATTTGCAAAATCAACATTTTTC